TGAGTAATATGCTTATCTAAGGCACACCTTCAGAAAAACATCATTTCAAGAGAAAAAAACAGGTGGTGCAGAAATGAGAAATTGAAAGGAGTTTCAAGCACTTTATATACAATTATGAGATACAAAGAAACTGGAGGCACAGAAAAAACCCTGATTTTTATAAAAGTGTAGGAGTTAGTCTTTATAAACAAAGATTTAAAATGGTATATTTAAACTGGAGAAGAAATGGCAAAGAAAGAATTGAATGAATTGCCAAGCGTACAAAGGAACAATACATGATCAGTAAGAAGCAGCTTTCATCTGTTGCTTCTGAGGACACAATAAGAGAAATTTCAATTGTGACAAGAACACTGAAGATAGTTCAACAATCTGTTACCATACAAAGGACTAGAAATGGAGTTCTGTTCATGGATTGAATAAATACAAAGGCAAAGAAAGCTACTGGAGATAGAGGAGATAGTTCATTTCTACTTAACTTCAGATTAATAATTACCATTTCTTAAGTAATAACTCTGTAATGGGCCTTCTTCTAGCACTGTTACAACCATTATAGGTGGCAGACATTACAATCTCCATTTTCTAGTAAGAACACCCAGGTTCTGAGTGCTGAAGTAGGTTTTCCGATGTAACAACACTGAGAGATGGCAACCCTGCTATATTGCTTCTTGAATGTGTTTGCATAATTTCTTTTCCTTTCTTTTATTAATTATTCTTCAATATAAGTCTTTCCTCCAAAGGTTTATGTGTTAGAAGCTGAGTCCTCAATATGGCAGTAGTAAGACATGCTGTGGAATCTTTAAAAGGCAGCACTTCATGGGAGGCCAATGTAGGTACTGCCATTGGAAGGATTAAAGGAAATTTTGCAGGACCTTGGTAGTTCTCATGAAAAGGTTCTTAAAAAAGAGCAAACTTGATCCCTCCCCATTCGTTGGCTTGCTTTCGAGCCAAGAGGTAATCTTTTCCTTTTATATGTGCTCCTAACATGATGCAATCTGCCATGAGGGGATGCAGCCAGTGGGGCCCTCACCAGAACTGGTATCATGCCATTCAGATTTTTAGCCTCCAATGGTGTGAGGTAAACAAATATCTTTTCTTTACAAATTACCCAACCTTGGGTATTTTGTTATAGCAACAACAACAAAAAAACCATACAGCAGTTAGTAACTCAGGAGGGAAAACGAAACAATCATATCCTATTTTAGTGTTATAGTATCGAATTCAAGCCATGGCTCATTCTCTAGTAATCTTTCTAACATGCAGAACCTTTACTGTATGCCTAGCATGGGGGGAAAATAAAGATGTACCAGAAAGAGTTTCTGTCTTAAATCTATACACTGTTAGAGTTAAGATATAAATAAAGATAATAAAAGACAAAGGTAATAATGCTACCAGAGAATCACAGGTTACATGCTGTGTGGTCATGCAGAGAAGGTAAATTTGTTCCTAGTTTACAGGATTAAATGTGTTTCAAGGAGGAGATGGCATTTTAAGCCTGCCTTTGAAGGATGAGCAAGATTTAGTAGTACAGAAACTAAAATGGAAGTGGGAAGGCAGAGACAGGCCTTCCAGCTTTTTTTTTTACCAATATGTATCCTGAGGGTGACTTAGAATCTAAGGAGCCCACACTGGAAGTAGGTCCTGAAGTACTAGCAAGATTTTCACATGCAAGAATGAAGGCAAAGAATTCTGTAGTAAGAAGCATTATTGCCCCCTTCTGACCTTTACTGTACCTGTGCAGCTGTCAGGCAGGCAGCCATTTTGTCTCCTTTTCCTCCCAGTTCCTTATCCAAAAATGGCTACCACTCATTCACTAAACTTGGTTACCATATGATTGAAATGAGACTGCTTGACCAGTCAGAAATTGAAACTTCTTACTTCTCTATTAGTTTATTCAGATTTCAGAATTTCAATCAAATGAGTTTTGGTGTGCAAAACTTGGATATAAAACCATCATTTCAAACTGTACTCAGTGAGCTACATGATCTTTGGAATATTTTCTCAAAGTGGTGGTCCATACTCCACCATTCTGCAACAAAATGAATAATATGGTCTGTTTAAATGCAGATTCTTGCATCAGACTCCAAGACTGCTGAATCAGATATCTGCAGGAATGGGTCAGAGACATGAATTTAAACACATTCTCTAGGAGAGACTGAAGCACTTTAAAGTCTGAGAAACACGGAGCGAGAAAGAGAAGTATAAAGATAAAAGAGAATACAGGAACAATATGGCAGAAACCTGAAGTGAACGAATGGAAGAATATCAGCCTGCAGAGATGAAATGAGGGCAGACGATGAATTGTCTTCACTGTCAATGCCAGGGGTTGACATGTATTCCAGAAGCAACAAGAGCCACACTTTTCAGTGACAGTATGCCATAGTTCAGAGCCTGGAGTCTGGACCCAGGCTGCCAGGGCTGAAATCTTAGTTTCTGGACTTAGTGTGGACAAGGTTCTAAAACTCTGTCTACATTAGTTTCCTCATTTATGTTGAGATACTAAAGGTACTTATCTCACAAGATTGCCATGAAGTTAAATTTTATACATGTGAAGTGCTCAGAATTAGGAACTAGCATTTAGCAAGTATGATTTGTGTCAGCATAGACTTTTGAACAGGGATATAGCAAGGTGAAGGCTATCTTTCTGGAAGATTCAGATGGCAGTATATATAGGAATCTGCTAAATATTCTCTTTGAAAAAAAGTCCTGTATTTTTTTCTGTAACTCAACAGTTCTCTAGCTTGGCTGCACATTGGAATTACTTCCTTCTCCAGACCTGGGTAGGATTCTATAAAGACATTACCCGTATGCTCCCAGGGCTGATGGCAAATGTTACATATATATTTCAGATTTGTCCAGGCTTTATTATAGAGTCTTCACTATATGCAAGACACCATCTTATGCCCTTTTCTGTATTACCTCACTTAAATGTCACAGTCATCTTGAAGGAAGATGCTAATATCATTCTCACTTTTAAGACTACTAGCAAGGTTGAGTCAGGTCATCCAGCTAGAAAGAAGCTAACCTTCCTATTCTCTCCACTTACATCATTGTTTTTCTCCATTTTAATGTGGACACAATAGCCTGTGAGATCATTTTGTATGTCAGTTGGATTGAGTCTTTCTTTTTGTTCCAGTGTTGGGGATTGAACCAAGAGGCTCATGCATGTGAAGGAAGAACTCTACCACTGAACTATATTCCCAGTCCCTTTCAAAATTTTATTTTCTGACACAGTCCTATTAAGTTGCTCATGCTGGTCTTGAACTTATGATCCTCCTGCTTTAGTCTCCAGGAGTGTATCACATTCCACCTGGTTTCCTATGATGCTCTTGCTCATGAATTTCCATTGGTATCCCAGTGCACTAAAAGTGAAATCCAAAACTCTTTCCCATGTTTTTCAAAACCGTGAATTGTTTTACACCTACTCATCTCCCCAGCCTCATCTCACGTCCTGACAATTTCCGCCATAATCACCTTATTCCAATCACATTGGTCTTCCAAGCTTTTCCCTGTCTGAGGCCTTTCTTTTTCTTTCTGCCCAGAATGCTCTTCCCTATGTTTTTTCTTTTCTCTTTTCTGTTTTTTTATTTTTTATTTTTTTATACAGGGTTTTGGTATGTAGTCCAGGCTGGCCTTGAACTCATGGCAATGCTTTTGCCTCAGCCTCTCCAGTGCTGGGATTACAGGCATGCACTACCATGCTCAGGGTCTTTGTGTGAATGGCATTTTATGCCACCATGCTCAGGGTATGGACAGCTCCTTCTCATCCTTCAGATATGAGTTTCAAGGTCATCTCCTCAGAGGCTTTCTTGACCACTCAAACTGAAATGACTCTTATTTTCTATCTCAGTCCTTTGTATATCACATTTTTAGATATTTGTTAGACTATTTGTTTATTATTTCTCTTTTCTGGTAGAATGTCAGCTCCATAAGAACAGAAAATGTATTTTTGCCATTCAGTGTGCAATATATGGTTGTGCAGGTTGTGTTCGTGTAGGCAAGATAGCCTTGGTTTGCTTGTTGCCTGATGCAGAGTTTGGGAACAGAAGCAAAGTTTTGCTGAATACTTTTGTTTGTAAACCAAATTGTTTGCAAGCAGAAGCATTCGTGAACTGAGGCACTACTGTACGTTAACAAGGGTTTTCTGGTAAAAGCAGTAAAGTCTCTTAAAGGGTTACTTTTGGTGATTCACATAAAGATATCATGTGGTCTAGTGGTGTCTTGTACATCTACTGTATTTATCAATGTAAAACAAGCTTCAAACACAGTGTTGAGCATACAGTAGATGTTCAATAAATATACTGATTGGGTATAAAAAGAAGATAATATTAAGATATTGCTAGTAGGAGGGTGGGGAAAGGGAGGGCTACAGAAACTTGCTGATAGATTTGTTAATTTGAGAAAATGCAAAAAAGACAAAGGTGTTTAGGTTTGATCTCAGGAACCTAGGGGGGGAAAATGGTGCTACTATATGTAAAAATAGAATCTAAAGAAGAAGACTGAGTTGAGAATACAATGATTCCATTTAGGATATAATTTGAGAAAATGATGCCTCTGATTTTGCTATTATTGAGTTTTCATCATTTTCTTGTGGTTTTTAAAAACACCTAAATTTACCTGGCTCATTCTTCAAAATTGTCACATTAATGCTGTGCAAGCCCCCTTCGTCCGTTAAAGATCATGCATAGAAAGGAATGATTGGTGTTTTATGATACAATAATTTAGGGGCCAAGCAAGAAAGGATTCAGGAAGGACAGACAATCACTTTCATACTGAATAACTCCTCTAGCTTTCCACACTGCACTCCAGCTCGGTTTCTTTTAGGTTGTGGTCCTTAGAAATCAATGCTTTGATTTTTTTTTTTTCCTTTTGTGAATGAAAGCACTTCTAAAAGCCAAGGTTGCCATGGCAAATTCCCTTTCCTTAAGAGACTGGACAGACATTTTCCTCTTTTCTAAGTTCAGAATGGCAGCATCCAGGGTCTTGGGATATGGAAAACCTACCTCTGCATACCCGGCAGCAGGAATCTGGAACAGAGACTGGGAAGGCACAGGTTAATTTGGGGCAAGTCTTGAGACCACAATATACATTCCCTTCCTGCCAAAGAAAAACAGAATTGAGATCAAAATGATCTAAGATAAGTCCCAGGTTCAGCTCAATACCTAAGATAGAGAAGGGGCTTGGAATATGGCACTGTTCTCCCATAGTTTGTTCTAGGTACTTCCTACGTTTTATTTTGCACTATTTTTTCTACTTACTATTTCCCACTGTGGAGACTAAGAGAGTTAACAGTCCTAGTCAGGCATCCTGGTCCAAGGTGGTAGAAAATACTCTGTGAGGGCTGCCATGGGCCTTCAAACCACCAAATAATTTTGATCTTCTCTTCTCTGTTTACTGTATCCCTTATTCCTCAACACAGCCCAGCCAAACGTTGGAGGTATTAGGAAATGAGGATATTTGTGCTACCATTTGTGACACTTACTAGTTTCCTTTCCAAACCAAAGAGATGGACTTTCTTTGGGATAATACAAAATTATACAAGATAATCTAAAACCAGTATCTCTACCCAGCACAAGGCAAAGGAGATAATCCAGTTTGCTGGATACAATTGTCTTTGCAATAATCCTCACTTTCTAAAATTCTAGCTTTTAAGTGTTATTCTTTAAACCTTCCTCTTAGTTCTTAGAAATATATCCTTTTAGGGATAGAAGGTTTCCTGAAAAGTCACCAGGAAAGCAGCCCAACAGAAATTCTTCCTAAATCGCTGAAATACCAAGAGAAATACAAATTAATGAGACAGTTTTTACCACATTTCTCAGGGAAAGAAATTCTACAACTGTTCTTGTCAACCCTTGTTTAATGTTCCTTACAGCCGAAAAGTTGTTTCAGGATCTAACTTTATTCCTTTGTATTTCATTTTAAATACGCACCTTACTCCATTGTTTTAGTTCTATCTATTATACTCTCTAGATTACACCATTAGGTAATGACATAACTGATAAACTTTATTTCTGAAGTACATGAAGATCTTTTAACCAGCATGAGAATCACTGTGCTCAAACAACAAATTTTCTCACTGCAGGATACCAGGAATTAAATGGTTAATAGAATGCTTCAGCGATGATAACCAAGAGACATTCATTTTCTTGTAAATTAGATGTAGGAGCCTAGAATTATACAGTGAATTTTCCACCAAGGCATTTCCAAGGCTTCAAATAATTATAAGTACTTCATATGAATGCTAAGCTAATTGTACTGCTAATTTCTGTCGGTTTATTGTAAGGAATAGTTAATGCTTAATTTTCTCAACCAATTTTACATGCTTATATCTGGTAATCTGAGCAACTACTTTGAAGATAACAATATGCAATATAACAACCAATGTTAATTTCCTATCATCTTGTTTTGAAATTCTGTATCATTTTCATGTTTTTTTCTTATTTTTTAAATCTCCTTAAAATGAGCACTTAGGTAGTATAATTATGATTAAGAGGAGCACAAATCATATGAAATAGCTTGTCCTTGCCCATTTGAGAAGGTTTTGCCCCAGCTTTAAGCCTGGTGTGCAGCTGGCTCTGAGCTCTTCAACAGAATTGGTCAAGGTTGAAGAAAAACAGTAAGTTTTGATTGGCAGGGACAATTAGGGATTAAATATGATTCATCTTTTATTCAAACATCTTGTTTTGTAAGCTCAAAGAAAAACACAAGTACAGAGAGAGTTCTGTCAGGCAGGCAGGGAAAAGTAGGAGCACTGTGATGCCGTCTTACCGAGCAGCTGCACTGGGTGCACTGATTGGGTTGGCGGTTCTGAAAAAGCCCTTCAGCCATGAATAGCTCTCCATGTTGGTAAGTGGTCCCATTGTACTCACAAGACTTGCTGGTCACTTTATTGTTCACTGTGGGTAAGGAGTCTTCTGGAACAGGATGGAGGGGAAAAAACACACAAAGTACCGGCATCACTGCAAAGAACTTCATAAATCCCAACAGCAGATGGAGCTGTACTACATAGAGGGAGTTAAAGGTCAGTTCTTGCTCCAGTGGCTAAAGAACGGAAATAACGCTAAAGTAGCCAGACAAAAACAGTAGTGGACGTCACCATCCATCCATTCTTTCATTTGTTGAACATTTACTGAGCACCTACTATGTGCTAGGTACTGTAATGAGCTTTAGGGAGAGATCAAAGAACAAGGACAAGGCCTATGCATTGAAGAAGCTAATAATCCTCGATTAGCAAGATATTAACTTGCTTAATAGGAGGAAGTCCATGCTATTTCTAGTTCTTTCTTAGCGCCCTTTTGGGGAGAGTAACTGTCTATTATAACTATCCTAGGGACTTTATGCTATCTAACTTTTTAAATCATTTGTCATATGCTTCTATGCTTGCTTCAGTCTCTGTAGGTTTGGTTTGGTTTTGTTTTGGGGCAGGGGTTACTCTGCTGCCAAAGCTGGCCTCAAACTTATAGATTACAGATGTGAACTAACACACCTAAGTCTCTGAAGTTTTGCTTTTGGTTAAGCACTGCATGACTGCTCCTCTCTCTACTCCTTTATCTGTTCAAATCCCATCTGATGAAGGTTCAGCTCACTAGAAAGTGTTCCCTAATAATTTAGCCATCAATGTGCACCTCCCAGAGCCTCTGACATCTGAAGCACACAATTTAAATATAATTGAAATTTAAATATAGTTGAAATTGCTATTATTGAAATTCATATTTAATTGAAATTCATATTTGTGAATTAAAGTAACCTATCAAGTCATGTTCAAATAGCCTTCATATATGTTATTAAAATGGAACCTCACAACAATGTTGTGAATCGAATAGGGTAGATTCTTACCTTGATTTTTCATTTGAGAGAAACAAGTCACTGAGACTGAATTATTTATCCTACCTCACAAAGTTAGTGGATGATGAAAAAGGAACTGAAATCTGGTCTCCTGACTCTAAATTTCACCTGTTAACTTATATATGTATGTGTATATATTACTTTTTGAGAGCAAGGAATCTTACATGTCTCTTTATTCCCTAGAGTATAGCACAGGATTGCCATGTAGCAAAACGTCAGGGCACTCACTGAGTTGATTCTGACTGAATGATCTCTAAAAATATTTTCACTGGATTTCCTTAAGTACATGCTACATGTGTATCCACAAACACATACACATACACACCAAGTAACAATGAACATTTTCCAAATTTAAACTAATAATTGATGAATGAATTAGCAATAGATACAAGGAGAGCTTGGAAAGTGCCTGCGATAGTCTAGTAAGAGAAATCAGGGAAGTTGTGTGTTTCACTGGGGAGAAGCTTAGAGTTTTACATCATTCTTTCTATCAGTTAAAACTATAATGAATATGAACCCATTTTATGTGGATAAATTGTACCTCAACAAAAATGTTTAAAAATGGAATGAAATTACTTTCAGGATGTAGCAAAAATGATAAAAGTTATGATACATATAATAATAATAGTAATAATAATAGCTAACATTTATTGATCTTTACATGCCATAGACAGTATCAGTGCTTTCCCATGCATTATTTCATTGGCTCTTACTAATAATGTTCAGTAGTAGACAGGATTATGTCCATTTTGCAGATGAGGATACTAAGGCCTAAGAAATTAATCAACTTGTCCAAAGTCACATAACGTGTAAGTGGCAACACTAGGATATGAACTGATGCCTGACTGATTCTAAAGTCTTCCCTCCTAGCCACAATCAAAAAGAATACCAATAACTTCAAATCTGTAAGAAGGCAGGGATTATTGAATTTAAAACCTAAACACAAACCAATGCAACATGAAAATTGTGTTGTGTATGTGGAATATTGTGATCTAAAATATGCAGAATACAGACAATGCATTTTTCTTCAGCTTCAATGATCTGAGTAACCACTTAATTCTATACATTGGTAAATAAATTGTTCTACCTTTAATTTTGAAATAAATTACTCCTTGAATGTTAAATACTTTTTAATCACTTCTTACAGCATGTTTAAAAAGATCTTTAAATTTGCTCTAAAAGGAAGAATGTTTCACTCCAAGAAAGAGTTTAACTCACACCAACTGATAATCTGTCTGGCTTAATAGTTCCTGTTCTTGCCCTTGAATACATACAACTAGACAGTTGCAGCCGGCAGAAATGAGCAAAACTCATCAGAGAATGGACAGAAGCAGAGTTATTTGCCTCCTGGGCTCTCATTATTCCAAATCTGAGCATTTTGTGGTAAAGGAAAAATACAATGACCTACAAAATAATATTTGTCATGGCTCTTACAGGAGTTGGCAAATCTCTGGAATACAAAAAATGTGTGGAATTATTTAGCCTCACAAAATGTGGATTGATTTTTTTGAACTAGCCCGTCTACTAAGGGATCAATGACAAGGCAACTTCAGGGTGAGGTTTTCCACCAGATGCCTGACCTTGAGAATCTTCCTTCTAATAGTCTTCTGAGCAACCTGGCAATGAACTCTAAACTACTGGAAAGAAAAGGGGAATAAAGCAATAGATGATAAGAAGACATGACAATCAAAGGTAATAATCAAAGATATGACAATCAATAAAAAGCAAGGATGGTCAATCTTACAACTAGTTTCATGCAATAAAATTATCTTAAGATCTTCTCTTTCTTAATCTAAATATTGCATGGGGAAGATTATGAAAATGGGGCAACTAACACTCCAAAAGACTTCACCCATGTCACACAGCTGCTGACAGTCAACTCAGAAAGTTTTTCTGACTTTGAACTTGTGCTGTTCTCACAGAATGGGTGTTACAATTTTGGGATAAGGTCACTGAGTCACAATGCTAATTCAGGCAGCAACCTTACACAACCACTTTACCTCTTTGGGGTTTAGTTTTTCTGTCTAAGAATGGGGTATGAAACTCAAAATCTCCCCACTGCATCTTTCAAAGGCCAACACTGCATACTTCCTGACCACAAAAGCAAGGATGCCACCTCAGTCTCTATCCTCTCCTTTCCCAGACTTTCTGAGGTGGCTGGGCTTTTAACCAACTATCTTTGGAACACATTCAGTGTTCCTGGATGAAAACTGGCAAAAAATCAGTCTAAAGCCAAGCTTGTCCCAGAAACCCTTAGAAGACTACAATAAAAATGACCAGGCTGTATGGCTTTTGGCCTCCCCATCTTCCTTGTTTAAAGTCAAATTCCCACAAAACACCACAAAACAGAATGGAGAAAGGACACTGTGTGGCAAGCAGGCTGACACGAAGCCATACTGCAACGGATGTGGTGGCAAAGAAGCAGTTTCTTCTCCTCAAGGAGGGCTGGTGTTCTATGTAGGCAGAACTACCATTTCTGATATGTGTATGAAAAACACTGTTACCTAAAAATCTCTCACTACCTTTTCTCTCACTGATGCCTAAAATGTCACCCTTAGAGAGCCATTCCTTTGGATTCCATACTTGCCTATTTTTGGAACCAGGTTTTGTGATCACAGGTCTTCTTAAAGGCTATGCATTGCCACTAACATTTTGGTAGGAATAACTTTGTCAAAGGAATTTTCTTTTGGCCTTCAAAGCAACTGACAACTTTTACCAAGAAGTCTGCGGTGCTATTCCCACTTCCTTTGATGCATCATCCTTTCTCCTCCTGGCATTACTCTTCTTTCCACTCTTTAGATCTCAGTCTTCAAGATTGTTGCTGTCTTACCCAATCTCCCCACCTTCAAGTTTCCATTTTCTTAGTGGGCAGTTCTTGGCTAGTGAGAAAAGCAGCTTGTATATCAGGAGACAAGTCAGCTGTCAATGTTGTGAGATACATGCAAATCTTCCCAGAGAGTCCAGGGATCTGCTGTTCATCTGTTCAATGCTAAACTATCCCTCCGTTTGGCGTTGCTACCGTTACTCCCATTTCTACCTTCCTTTGGATGGTTGAGCTGGATTCTAATGTTTCTCTGCTTATCTGACATTTTACTGGTATGGTCCCAGCATATTTACAGGACACCAGGAAAGGGGCAGTGTTAGGCAGGGATATGAAGATAAGTAGAGCTATATAATCCAAAGGGATCTTTTCTCAGAGGTACCAGACAGCAGAGAATGGCAAAAGGGTTAGGCAAGCAATGCCTAGAATAGGGTACTGATTGGACATGGCATTTTCAGCTCTGTATATCATAATAATAGAAAAGAAAAGAATTGAGTCTGGTCTCTGGAGTTCCAGATGCTACGTTCTGAATTCATAAGTCCAAATTTTAACTCCCAAGTTGGTGGCATTAGGAAGTAAGGCCTTTGAGCAATGATTTGAATTTGAGGTCTTTGCTCACTTAGGATGAGTGCTTTTATAAGAACCTAAGACAACTTGTTTAACCTTCCACCAGATGAGGGTACAGAAAGATGTCATCTGTGAATTCAGAAATAAAACTTCATCAAACACTAAATCTGCTGGCAACTTGATCATAGATTTTCCAGGCTCTAGAACGATGAGAAATAAATTTGCAGTGTATAAGGTAGCCAGTTCTTGGCATTTTGTTACAGTAGCTTGAACCAAATAAGACTTCACTTTTGGTATGTTTTTGCACTGTGATCACAGGAAGGCTACTTAGTCTCCTTGTATGCTGGTTTCTTTATCTTCAAAATGAATACACTCTCTACCCACCTTATATGGCTGTAATGTTTAGAAAAAACTTATCTTAAAAAACCAAAAGGTGGCCAGTCCTTAACAGTTTTCAAAATAAATGGCAGGTCATACTGTTTTAGAAAGAAAGAAGAGAAAAAAGTATGAACTTGAAGAAACTAGAAGGATTTCCTAGTTTCTGTGGATGACTGAACAATGAATTAAAGGGTGTTTGGTTATACTTATGTGTGTAGTGCTGTGCAGACATGAATTGTTAGAATTTAGATCTAAAGTGCCTCCCCTCATGTCTCATGGTTTGGAAGGTGATTGGATTAT